CGGGGTCCTGGGGAACCTGGAGATTTTGGGGGGATTTGGGGGGATTTTGGGATCGATTTTGGGATGGATTTGGGATGATTTTAGGATGATTTTGGGATTGATTTGGGGATTGATTTTGGGATTGATTTGGGGATTAATTTTGGGATTGATTTGGGGTGGTTTTGGGGTGGTTTTGGGGTGGTTTTGGGATTGATTTGGGGGGATTTTGGGGATTGATTTGGGGTGATCTTGGGGTGATTTTAGGATTGGTTTTGGGATGATTTCGGGATGATTTTGAGGTGATTTTGGGGTTATTTTGGGTGGTTTTGGGGTGATCTTGGGGTGACTTCAGGATTGGTTTTGGGATGATTTCGAGGTGATTTTGGGATTAATTTGGGGATGATTTTGATGTGATTTGGGGTGATTTTGGGGTGATTTTGGGGTGACTTTAGGATTGGTTTTGGGTTTGATTTGGGATGATTTTAGGGATGGATTTGGGATGATTTTGAGATGATTTTGGGGTGATTTGGGGATTGATTTGGGATGATTTTAGGGATGGATTTGGGATAATTTTGGGATTAATTTTGGGGTGATTTTGGGGTGATTTTGGGATTGATTTGAGATGATTTTGGGGTGATTTGGGGATTGATTTGGGATGGTTTTAGGGATGGATTTGGGATGATTTTGGGATTAATTTTGGGGTGATTTTGGGATTAATTTTGGGGTGATTTTGGGATGATTTTGGGATTGATTTGAGATGATTTTGGGGTGATTTGGGGATTGATTTGGGATGATTTTGGGATGATTTTGGGATTGATTTGAGATGATTTTAAGGACGGATTTGGGGTCATTTTGAGGTCCCGAGGGGGTCCCGGAGCCGGTCCCGGTCTCACCCCTGTCCCATCCCTGGTGCCGGTGCCGCCCACGCCCCCGGTTCCGATCCCCCCATGCCCGGTGCCGGTCCCGGTTCCGATCCCGGTTCCCGCCATGCCCGGTCCCGGTTCCGATCCCGGTTCCCCCCATCCCCGGTGCCGGTCCCGGTTCCGATCCTGGTTCCAATCCCCTCCCCTGTCCCCATCCCGGTTCCCGCCATGCCCGGTCCTGGTTCCGATCCCGGTTCCAATCCCCTCCCCTGTCCCCATCCCCGGTTCCGATCCCGGTTCCCCCCATGCCCGGTCCCGGTTCCAGTCCCGGTTGGGATCCCCGGTGCCGGTTCCAATCCCGGTTCCGATCCCGGTTCCCTCCCTATCCCCGGTGCCGGTTCCGGTCCCGGTTCCTGTCCCGGTTCCCCCCCTATCCCCGGTGCCGGTTCCGGTCCCGGTTCCGATCCCGGTTCCCCCCATGCCCGGTGCCGGTTCCAGTCCCGGTTGGGATCCCCGCTGCCGGTTCCGATCCCGGTTCCGGTCCCGGTTCCTATCCCGGTTCCCCCCACGCCCGGTGCCCGGTTCCGGTTCGGATCCCGGTTCGGCTCCCCGGTTCCGGTACCCGGCAGTCGTAGAGCGCCGTCAGCTGTGCCAGGATCCACTCCTCCAGGTGCAGCCGCTTGCGGAGCTCGCGGCGATCGTAGCGCACCGTCACCTTCCCGCGGCCCCGCCCCGGGCCCTCCTCCGGTGCCGCCGCCGCCGCCGCCGCCGCCGCGAAGCAAACGCGGGGCCCGGGCTGGGCGTGCGGGGCTCCGGGCGGGGCTGCGGCCGCGGCCGGGGGGGGCCCGGGGCCGCCGCGCGGCTCCGCCATGCCGGGACCACCGACCGGAAGCGGCCACGCCCCCGCCGGGGCCACGCCCATCGCCGGCCACGCCCCCCACGCGCCGCCACCGGCGCCGCTTCCGCCGCCGCGGGGGCTCCTTTGTGTCCGCGCGCGGCCACGCCCACCGGGACACGCCCACTCGTGGCCACGCCCACTCGCTGTGTAGTATCCACGCCCCTCATTAGCATAGCCCCGCCCCCCTTAGGTCACACCCCGTTAGGCCACGCCCCTTTCCGGGTCAGGGGGGCATTGACCGCACCCAGCCCGGGCCGCGCCCTGGTGATTGACACCCCCGCTGGCCACGCCCCCTCTCCTGGCCACGCCCCCTCCCGGCAGCGATGGCGGCGCCGCTCCCGGTCCCGGTCCCGGGGTTGGGTTCGGTGCCGGGGCCCGGTTCCGTCCCGGGCTCGGGTTCCGGTCCCGGTTCCGTTCCGGACTCGGGGTCGGGTCCCGGTTCTGTCCCGGGCTCGGGGTCGGGTCCCGGTTCTGTCCCGGTGCCGGGGCCCGGTTCCGTCCCGGGCTCGGGTTCCGGTCCCGGTTCCGTTCCGGGCTCGGGGTCGGGTCCCGGTTCTGTCCCGGTGCCGGGTCCCGGTTCTGCTCCGGGCTCTGGTTCCGGTCCCGGTTCTGTCCCGGTGCCGGGTCCCGGTCCCGGTTCCGTCCCGGGTCCGGGTCCGGTTCCGGGCGCGCTCCCGCTGGAGCCGCCGCGCGTGCCCGAGCTGCTCGTGCGGGGCAGCAAATTCATCCGCTGGGAAGAGGTGAGTGCCGGGACCCCGAACCGAACCGGGACCCGAACCGGGACCCCCAACCCAACCGGGACCCC